TAATGTTAATGGTTCTTCTACTGTTGGATCTAAAAGACGAATAAAATGTTTTTTTAACTTTTAAAGATTTCTCTATGATAAACTTACGAAATTTAATTAAATCTTCAATAACTTCCCAATGACGACGACGTAGATTTTGATTTCGAAGATTAGTTATAGTAGGTAACTAAATAAAAAAAAATTTTTTTTCTATATTATTTTAATCTGTCTTTTAACATACTTTAGCTCTTAATGATTCAACTTTATCTTTTAATATGGGTACTAATTGATTAGGTGGTAAACCACGTTCTAATTGATAAACATTCTTTCCATATTTATTAACTGTTCCAGTTATTTCTTCGGGATCTATAGTTTTAAATTCTTTTGATTTATAATCGTCTAACATACCATCCCATTCATTCAAAGAATTCCATAATAATTCTTTTAATTTTAATTCACCATAAACTTCTTCTAATTCATCAAATTTTGTTACTTCAACTTTAAAATTCTTCTGGTATAAACGATATTGTGTTGATGTTTTTTGTTGATATTCGATCTTTTTAATATAATCATCTAATAATATTTTAACTTTATCTTTATCAGCTGTTGGATCAAGTATGATAGGATTTTGTGAATCGGTTTTAATTTGTCGAACATCTGCTGTTAACATTTCAATATCTTTATCAAGTAAACTTACAAATTTCACAACATTTGCATCACGTTCTGTTAATGCTTTATCAATAGCATTACGACAACCATTTAATGTTGTTGCTAAAGAACTGTATGAGACAATATCTTCTGGTGGACATGGAACAGTATATTGATCAATTAATTCGTACATTTGACGAACAACTTCCGCTTCTTGTTCAAGTGGTTCAATACGTTCTTGAATTTCATCAAGAAATGTTAATGCATCAACAAAATCATTTGTTGATTCAGGTTTAGTTTCTAATTTAACTGTTGCTTCTTGTGCTTCAGATTTAAGTGAATCAGTTTGAGCTTTAGCAATCTTTGGTAGAATTTCATTAATAACATCCAATATTCTATGAATCAAAAAATAATCTCTTTTATTAGAAAAATAATATTGATTTTGTTTACCTTCGTGGAGATGGTTCTAATTTAGCTTTTGTATCAGTTGCATCAATCATTAAAAGACCTAACGGTTTTTTAATATCAATTAATTGTGCAATCTTTTCTTGACGAGTATATTTTGCTAATGATTCAGCAAAGAATTCGATATCTATTAAATAGAATAGAAATTTATTATCTTTTTTCTGAATATTAAATACATACCATGAGGTTCAGTTTTAAGTTTTTCAATATCGGTATTTTCATTTTCAACATAGAATTGATGAAATTCATCGAATGTATCAGCATAAATTTTAGCTGCATTAAAACCAGCTTCTAATGAACTATTACAATCTTTAATTAATTCTTTGAAGTGATAATCAGCTAAGAACATATTACGAAGATCAGGTCCATCACCTTTAATTTGGAGAAAAAGAATATTTAATTTTAATTAGAAATTCAATGAAATATCATACCACATGTTTTTTCTTCATGTTTTTCATTGATATTTGGTCGAGTATAACTATCAAATACAGTATCAGGTATAAGATTTTTAATTGAAAGTAAAGTATCTTGAAAACTATTGATAACATGATTGATACCTTAATTAGAAAAAAAATAGAACTAGTTTATGTATTCTATAGCGTATCGATCTTAACTAACCATTTTGAAAAGTAAGACCATCAGGATGATATTGTATAGATTCGATAAATAATTTCATTTCTGTTACAAATAATGGAATATGACGTTTAGCTACTTCATCCTCCTAGGAAGAAAGAAAACAAAAATGAATTGATCTATTTTTGTTTTTTATTAATAAATTATTACTTCTGGTGCTCGAAGGCCAGGTATTGGTTGTGGTGGTGGTCCAGCTGGTGGTTCTGGAGGTGGTGGTGGTTTATTTTCTCCTTGTTGTTGTTCTCCTTCACCTTCAGCTGCTGCTTCTGCTTCTTTATCGACTTTCTGTTTAATTTCTTCAACATATCCAATAATTTCATCTTTCTTTGGTGTGGCTTCAATTTGTTCAAGAAAATGATTTTTAAGTGAATGTACTGAATTAACAGCCAAGACATGAAATGTATTTACAATTAAATAATCACATAAACGAATGAAACTAGAAAATAAAAATATATTTCATTTTTTTCTCAATATAAAATCATTTACTTAGTTAATCGTCGACAATGTGATCGTTTATTTGCTTGTTCAGCATAAGTTGCTTTATCAGGTGGTTGTGCTAATGTATCAATATCCATACTATCTGGCATTGCAAGTGTACCAGAATTCATATTATCTTTAAAACGAATCATATAAATAGATACTAAGAAAAGAAAAATTTGAATATATGAATACCATGCATTTGATCATTTGCTGCTGATGGAAGAAAATCATCAGGTACAAATCCAGCTTCGAATAAACGTGTTCGACATGCACTTGCAACAACTTCTTTAACAAGATCACGAAATTCTCCAAGACGTTGTGCAACTTGATGTAATGTTTGATTTTGACTATCAGTAAACTAAAATATATGATTAGAAAAAAAACCTTCTTGAATAAATTTCAAAATTTTATACTAACTTCATGTAATGTATATGTATGTTTCTTTTCGATTCTACAAAGACTCATATCACTAATACGAAAGCACATTTCTCGAATATTTAATAAAGCAGGTCGTAATGCCTAGAGAAAAGAAAACAGAAATATTAATTAATAAAATAAAATTTTTTTTAGTTACATCTTGTAAGAAAAATAAGTTTTCTTGAAGCGCTTTCGATGATTGAGAGACTTTTTTAACACGAATATTTTTATACCAAACCATAAATGCTTTCCACATTCTTAAAAAAAATGAATAAATGTTTATATATTTTTAAAAGAAAATCTTACCTGAATGTTGAAAAAACTTTAATCTAAATTACAAAATAAATTTTAAAAATATAATGAAATAAAAAAAATAAAAAGTTTACTTTGATTAGACGAACATATCGATTATATTCTTTAGCAAAATTTTCCAAAGGAGTGAATTCAACTTCCTCTCCTGGACGATAATAACTAACACCGGAATTAGAAATAGTAAAATATTCACGTCCACATTGTTCATAATTAACAACTCTATAAAAAAAACAAAATTTTAATGTATAGCTTTTAAAACAATGAAAACAAACTTTAAATTATAATAACTATGTCGTGTATCATTTCGTGAATATAAATGTGATAAATATAGAAAGAAACCATCAGGTGCTTGTCTTATATAATCGATTACTTTGCCCATGTCTGATTCTCCTTGTAGTTGTTCTATATCAATAAATAGAATCAGATCATTATTATTATTATTATTATTAACTACCTCTTTCATCAAGTTGTCTTCGTTTAGCGGCTCCAGTTGAACCCCACTCAGAACCAGCATCATTTCCTTTGCTCATTTCTGAAGTTCGACCATTAATCTAAATTTTTCAAAAAATAAGTGGAAATAACTGAATAATGTAAAAGTTACCGGTGGTAGTGAAAGTCTAGCACGTTTCTCAGCTGGTTGATCAGGAGATGATACACGTAATTTATTAGCTTCAATTAGTTGTTGCCGATTACGTGCTTGAATTTCTTTTGGATCATTGTGTTTTTGATAACGTTTAAGTACTGGTAATGGTTCAAATTTTTGTTCGGCAGGTGTCTGTTTATTCGAATAAGCTCGATAATGATCACCACCGGGTGGTTGTGGGCTATTCGTATTTTCATCACGAATCGAATGGAGTGGATGTGAAATTAGTCGACTCACCAAACGATTTTGATCGATATTCCCATAACGAAAATCTGCTGAACGCGTTGACGATGGCAACATTCCACCATCAGCCATTGCTTACTTTTAGTATGTGTAAGTATGAAAAGAATAAAGAATATTCAAGTATACACCAAAGAATTCTGGCATTTGGAACAATTGTTGTCATAACACAACCCTCAAATAAAAGCAAACAAATATATAAAGCGACATCTGATTAGATGGCGGCTATTATTTTATAAGAAATAACAATTACATCGAATATATATTAATAATCTTTTTACAATCAATCGTCTACAAAGATAATTTGTTTATCTTCAATGTATAATCATTTCACGTTTACTTTTAAAAGCTCAATCATATTAATTATAAAAATACTGACAAAATTATTCTTTATATATAACAAAGCATTTCTTACTAAATATATCTATCAACTATTTATCTATTTATGGATTTATTATTTTGATATTTGGAGAAGAGTATGCATTCCTTTTCGCACGAATAGGCGTTTAAAACTCAATCATTGATCTATCGACCTTGCCTAAACAACTGATTATTAGTCGTCAAATATAAAATCGTAAGAAGTCTATGATTATGTTCTCAAGCATACACACTGTATATTTATTTTTATTAGAATTCATACTAAGTGTATAGATTTATGTATAAGTTTTTTGAGGAAATTGTATTAAAATTTATAACTGTTCAATTTGTAAGTGAATCTATTGAGCAAAAAGTTTATTGTACAATGATGAGACAGTTGTCATTGTTAGTAAAGATAAGGTTGACAATAACCTCCTTACAGTAGTACATATAGTTTCTATATTCTACCTATTTAGACTGTGGCGTCCTCACACATACAATACATTATTAATAGTAACATCATTATTATTCATGTTTCTAGGTGAAATTAAGCGATCAAATAACTGCACTCTTTACTTGACAGTTGAGAAGTAAAATTTCATAAATTTTGCTTAGAAATCAATAATAATTATTAAAGCAAGATTAAAATTTATTCATGATCTTTTTTTATGCATAAGATCATAACAAAAACGCTAGAATAAAATAAAAACATAATCACAATTATTTGAAAATTCGAATTTTATCATTGATACAATACACATACAATACATTAAGCAATTAATAATTTTCAAAACGAAAAAAAATTCATTTATGTGTTTTAAAATATTTATACAGTTGCTGTTTCTTTATCTCGTGAACTTTGAACAATTTCCGAAATATCATGTGGATCAATTTCGACAAGAATATCAATATGATCTGGATTGGTAAGAATGGCTACATAAGTTTTACCTTCTTTTGGTTCTTTGACTTCATCATCTTCGGCAGCTTGTTGTATTTGTTCATCACTTTCATTTTCAATTTTAAATTTTAAACCTTTTGGATGCTGACGATATTCAAAATGAGTACCATCAGCTGTTCGATCCATATGTCCACGTACAACTTTGATATTTTCAAATGTTAATCTATATGAATTGTGTTGTTTATCATGACCTAAAGCTAGACCACCTTTTGCATCGAAAAGTACGGCAATAAATGCTAATTCTGCTTTTGATAAATGTTCAACAGCGTGTTCCTTGCCTTCTGAAACCATGAATAAGTTTGTTACTTATAAAAATATAATGCGACAAATGAAGATGAATGAAGAATAAGAAGGAGAATTAAATACATTTTTTTTGGGCATATTGTTTGCTTTCATAAAAGAGAAAAAAAAAGAACGAAGAAGAGAGTTTTAAAACATAAGAGGATGAAGAAAAGAAGACTTTTTACTTGAAAATACATTTACAAAAAAAGAAAAAGAAAGAAAGAGTGATTTCAAGATGTTTCAAGAGGAGAGCGTTTTTGTGAATTAGTGAACGTCATGTTTTTTGAACAATACCATGGATACATAGAAGTACTACCGATATAATGGATCAAGAAATAAGATTTTTACATATCAACCAATGTGGTTTTAATGAGTTTCGTATTTTAGTTTTATTCACAATTGTATTAAGTCGAATAATAGTTTCTTAGTTCTGCAAATAATATAAGTAAGTCATAATCGTTCTCTCACTACAAACAATAGATAATGTGTAAATAGATTTTGCATTGGTTAGTTTTAGATCAAATAATGAAGGTTATAAATGTCTTTTTATCTATTACTTAGGTGACAAGTTATCTTTTAAAAAAAATGCTACAATCATTTAATTTCATCATTTGAGAGAAAAACACTTTGACACCTTCCAGATGTGGAAGTTGTTTACTTACGGAATCATGATTCAATTTTTAGTATAATATTAAGTGAGTTTGTTATTCTCCAAATACATGTAAAAACACTTAAATCAAAATGATGATTAGAACGTTTGAAAGGTTTTTTCAAATTTTTTTATTTAATTGGCATTGGCACTTATTCTAAACATACGAAATTTCTTCTCTAACGTATTGTTTCCATCAGACCACAAAGTACCAATTCATGTGAGAGGTTAATTATTTATTGTTTTACGTATTAGTTCATAAAAAATATATCTTCTGAATAACTTATAGTGCAAAACAACCTGAAGAAAATCAGTCGAAACATATCATTTTTATCCTATTTTATTGGTTAATTCTACGTTTAAGTCTACGAAATAAAAGCTAAGTTGTTATATTTAAAATAAAAAAATGTTTATCACATATCTTTGCGTTGTTCTTTAATGTACTCATCGATTATATTTTCTAGTACATTTAACGGTAATGAACCATGTAACAAAACCGCTAAAAGAAAAATGACCAGTTAGTTTAATAAATTATATAAATTATTTTTTTTTATACCATCATGAAATTTCTTCAAGTCAAATTTATCACCAAGGGCTAATTGTGCTTTTTCTCGTAATGATAAAATTGTTTGACAGCCAATCATATATGAACAAGCTTGTCCAGGAAATACAAAATATCGCTCAACTTCTGTAATAATCTCTTCCTTGTTCATACATGTATTTTCCATCTAGACATCAATTATAAATTCAAAAAAATAGTATTTTCAATAAAATTCTATACCATATAATCAATAGTTTGTTCACGAGACCATCTTTTCCAATGAATACCAGTATCAACAACAAGTCTAAGATTAGAAGACACATTAGTAATAAATAAATAAAGTTTCTATAAAATAGTTATACCGGCAAGATCGCATTAGTTGATAATCAAGATATCCAAGATAACTATACCATGATTGATGAAAACCTTCTTCTGCTGCTA